CTGATGAACACACAAGAAGCTGATCTAAAGGTAAAGCAATACTAGTCACTGCTTGGTATACCATTCATTTTGCTTCTCATTGTGTCGTCTAAAGATTCCTCGAGTTGAACCATGTCTTTCTTTTCTACTTCTCTTAGAGGATCCAACAGAAGTTGTTGTGGTGGGAGGAGTTGACAGGGCTTCTTCAATCCCAACCTGCCTTGCTAAAGCGGGAAGTGTGTCTGAGGCAGGGCTTGATAGCCACAACACTGGAGCAGCTGACGAGCGATGATGTTTTGACCTTCAGCCACATGGAAAAGATACTTTCAGAGGTTCAGGCCAGTCTGACTGACGGCCTTCAACAGTGCACTGAGGGTAAGACGTGTGAAGTGAGAATGATTTCAGTTTTATTTAAGGAAATACACCGGTACTATCAGGTCAATAGAAAATAGATTTTATAGTTTGTTAAGCAAGGTGATTTAAAAAAAATTGTGTCTTCAGACAGTTACCCAAATTCTGACCAAATGTGTGTGTCATTTTCTCACATTATACTATTTATTTTACTTACATTATAGTTTCTGATGGCAGAAACAGTGGACATTGTCTAGCCTACTTTCAAACTTAAATGACGTACTCTCTCAAAATAGACCATTTCTGGGAATCTTCTTTAGCTCCTTAAATAAGGTCAGGTTCTTTCAGGACAGCACAGAATATCACGTCTGTTACAGCACCCGAGACTCTCTTTCAGCATACTGTAACGCTTGACACAGATTGTTGCTGCTGATCTACTGTGTAATAAAAGGCACACTAATCATGTTTAAAGTAACAGTGCAGCTTGTCCCTCTAAGTAAAAATGGTGATTGACAATGAAAAATCTTTTGAACTATGTAACTATTTAAAACAGTAATAAAGGCAATGTTTTAATGTCTCTTCCTCACAATCAAAGAAACAGTAATTCTTTATAGAGCGTTTGCAGGTTCAACAACCTTACAGGGGGAAAAATTCTTCACTGTCAGTAGCCTCATTAGACCATATAGCAATGTAGCAATAAGGGCTTTAACAACTGAGTATGTGGTGTTACTGCTCTTTTCTCTTTAAATGACGACGATATTTTGAAAATGTTGTCCACCTTCAAAAGTTTATTGATCACGTTCCAGAGTGCACAAGGAAGACAAAGGAGCTGGTGAATGACAAGTGCAGCAGAATGGAGTCCAAGCGGAAGAAGCTTTTGAGGAGCCAGACCAAAGAGAAGAGCCGTGCGCTGGAACTAAGACAGACTCACGGTGACCTGCAGCAGCTCACCAAGGTCAGAACATTTTGCCGCCCCCACCCCCCCTTACTTCAATATGTTGATCAGGGATTAGTGTTAAATAAATTCAAATAGATAAATAGGCCAAGCAAATGCTTCCTGGTTCATAATTGTCTTTGTTGGTTCTTCTCTACTCTTAGCTTTACTATTGGTGATTAAATATGTAGAAGAAAAGACCGGCAAGGTAGATAAAACCTACAGCACATGTAGATCCACTGGTATCTACATCTGAGCTGTAACCTTTCCTCTAGGCGTACCAGGAGCTGCTGATGAAACACAGGCAGCAGATTGCTGACTTGGAGCTGCAGCAGGACAACAGGGTGGCTGAAACCCTCTCTGACCATTGGAAGGTAAACAATTGATTACTATATTTTGTATGTGTATATGTATTTCCATTCTTCTTATGTTGTTGTTCTTGTTTTTGTATGTTCAGAAACTCCATTTGTGCTGGTCAAAGAAGCTTGGAGAGCTAGCCAAGGGCGTCTTTCTCACTTCCGTGCGTGCCCAGTCAAAGCTCCCTGCTGAGCGCTGTGAGGAGCTGTGGCTGGATCTGGAACAGGAGCTGGTTCCACAGCTTCAGCAGGCAGAGTGCACTATCAAGATGCAACTAGAGGATGTGAGGGCTCAGCTGGATAAAGATGGACAGGTAGAAACCATCTGCTGGATCAATAACACGTTTTTTCACTTGTAAACATTGTTTCATACTCATAAATCCAAGGTCATCAGATATTTGTATTAGAGCATTCCATTGTTTCTAAGAGAGCCTCTTTTTTTCTCTAGGTGTGGAGTGAGGAGATGGTACTGGTGCAGGCCTGTCTCAAACATCTGAGTGAACAACAGATGAAGATCCTCCATGCCATGGTGGCCAGACAGGGCTACACACTCAACAGGTGAGATTAGAAGACCTCTCTCAAAGAGTATGCATGGCATATTGAGGGTGCCAAAGATAACGACAACGATAAATCTACCCTAACAACAGTTTTACAACACAGCTTTCTTCTATGTGGCAATATGCACTTATGCAGTATCTAAATCAATTTTTACGACTTACTCAGAAAAATGCAATGTGAACTTCTTCTCAGCCAAGTGGGGAGTTTGATAGAGAAGAAACATGAGCACCTGCTGGCGGCGGTACAGAGGTACTTTGTGGTCAGGCACTTCTGTCTGCACATGCTGAAGGAGATGAGGCTGTCCAAGCTGAAGGCACTCTCTCAGACTGATTTTAGAGCTGTGCTGATGGAGGATCCTAGTAAGAGCCAGTCCTGTGTCAATTCAACTCTGAAGGTGGGAAAAATGTATTCTTTTATTAATACATTTTTAAGCACCACAAAACAAAACCTTTACAAACCTCTGGTTCAGTATGTTTCCTCCTATTGATTATAGCAGTAGCTGAAGTTATGAGCATATTGAACACTGTACTGTATCAATCACAGAATAGCAGTGCCAGCCTAGCAGAGAGGCATCTGGGTCCAGAGAGTCAGTTGGTGGGCCACAGCTTCCAGCAGGAGTTCCTGTCTGAACTGGAGACGGGGACGGAGCTTCTTCAGAGCCATGCACAGCTGGTGCTGGGAAACGCCCTCAGCCATGCAATCCAAAAGATGATGGAGACTGAGTCTGAGTCACAGACCTCTCCCAAAGAAGAGGATGGCTTAAAGGTAGGGTCTGGGTTGGGTTATTATTATTGTATTAAGCTCTCATAAATTATAAGCAACTTTCTTTCTCTGTTGCATTAGGTATGTTTGTTAAGTACATCACTATAAAATTTTTTTCCTCATTAGCACCACCTGACAGAGGCTTCCTCGGAGAGTGTGTATGTGACCAAAGATTCTCTCACTGCCCTGGTCCGAAGCTACTATTCACATCTACGGGACATTATCAACAAATTGCAGCAGGATCAGTCAAACAAAAACCAGGGTGAGATGACAATCAGTTGCACATGTCCAGATCTGTGTAAACTCTGAGTTTGATTAAATGTGACACAAATTGATGCTACATATACAGCATATACATATATATTTCATTTGTAAGTCATAGGAAAAATATTTGCAATAGTTTAATCATTACTATGATTTTGTTAGAGTTAGGTCATAACTGACTGTGAATTGTTAATTTACTATTTAACTGAATTATTCATCTCATTTACTGTTGGAAACCTTCCCCTCAGAGTTAAATGAGAAACAAGAGAGCAGCAGTCAGCTGAGCAGATCCTTGCTGAGGGAGCTGGTGAACTGGGGCAAAAAACCCACCTCTGCCGAGTTTCAACAGAGGTACAACAACCACACACTGCACTGCCTTTCTGCACTACACACTTGTGTGAGTCTTAAGTACATTAAATATGAATCATTTGGGTTGTTACTTTGTTTTCTTGTGTGTCAGGGTTGAACTCCACAAGAGGAAGTTGTTGGAGCAATGTGATCTGGAACAGGAAGCAATATGCGAGGAACTCAGGCGGAAGAAAGTAGCTCAGGATCAGACCATGAAGAGGATCAAAGCACAGCTGCTGGTTAGTACGTTTCCTGTCTTCTGTACTTCTCGACCTGATAATGGGTTTATGAATTGATTTACAAGCCTGCCTTGTTATTGTCTGTAAGCACTGTGTTGCTGTGTCCATTAGGAGGCAGAAGAAAACTTCATAACTGAGCTGGCAGCCTTGGCCCGGGTTTCTCTCCACAGTCAAGATCCAGAACCAAGCAGTGATGAGGACAACATCGGTAAGCACCTTTACCTCAGATAGTAAAAATACGTATACGCCTCTCCTCTGTCTCTGTCCTTCATGATGTCATATTTTCACAGGTAATGAGGGCACAACTATACTGGATCTGCTTTCCCTGAACCCAGCATTAGATCCGGCCTTGAATCCGTCACTGACTCCAACGATTGTAACTCCGGTGGGGAAATCAAAGCCAAAGAAGAAAAGAGAACGAGAATCTCATCTCATTTGAAATCATAACGCAGTAATGTTTACATGTTAATACAGTAATATCCTGTGAAACGTTTACTCTTATTTTTATTGTTTATAAAGTGTAAATACCCCTACTTGTCTACTGTTACCATTTTATTGTTAGGAAGGCCCTTTCGGTTTGTTTGCATCAAACGAGGAATCTGTCCTTAATTTATGTGTAAATGGACTCTGGTCTAATTTGATTGTGGAAGTAGGTTACTGAAATGTTGCAGTAGTTACAAAAACCATACATTCCTCAAGTAGTCTGTGTTTTTGTAAATGTCATTTGCTATCAAATAATACAACAGAAGCAGGACATCGTTTGAATGCATTATTCATCTTTTGTACTTTTTTAACCTGGTTTACAGAAGCACTGTGCTAACAGTAATTCATTATTGCCCTATACCTATACCCACATTGCTTTTCATACCACGGCTCATTCACCACATTGATTCTCAGTGATTCCTGAGTACACGGTGTGATGGATGTGCTGCTCTGTGAGTTGTAGGTGAATTAGAGATGTCCATTCTGATTGTAGCAGAGTGCTACTACTCAGCGATGAAAGCCTTGCCCTTCTCTTGCTCTAATGGGGTTTTAAGTACAGCTCTTTATGGATGATAATGCAATGGTGAAAAGTCTGAGAGGGCTGAAGTCTGGCAGACAGTTCTGCGTGTAGGCAGCAATCTAGCAGGCAATTTACCCCAGACCCTTATGGGTTACTGTCAGTTTGGACTTTTAGGAGTGTCAATTAGCAAACATCAATTTTTAATACGTCCTTTATACGCTCAACCTGCACACATAACCAATTATTGCTATGGCACCCTGAGAAAATATGCTCATGGACCTGACCCACTCATACACACAGGAGTGTCCCGCCAGGAGTGTGTGTGTGTGTCTCTCCTCCAATGTATCAGTTAGAAAGGTTTTTTTGACTTTTGCATGTGCCGTCGCTGATCTGTGGTGAGGGGAAACCGTTTGGATGTATTTTGAGGTCCCTTAGGGGACTGCAGTGACTTGTGGGAAGATGACCTGATTTCTAATTTTCTCTTCTCCTGCCTGGGCTGTCGGCTAGTCGCTGCTACAAACGGAGAAGTCCATGAAAGGACAGAATGAGCCGCCCTGGATTTATTTGGAACATGGCCTCGCTATTGGCGTAAAACTGGATTTTATTTGTCATTTTTCATGGACGCATCCGCGACTGTAATTCTCTTTAAATAGATTCAGGTAAGTGGAAAGACCCCATAGGCTCACATCCGCGTAAGCTACACCTTTTTGTGTGGTAAAAATTATTCTTACAACCCAAATTGCATTTTGCAGCACTCCCAGCTGGCACACAAACACAACAGGGGGACTCTCAGTACCGATTGTTGCGCCTCCAGGAAACTGTCCTGTTTCTACGTCTTGAGACTGTTTTCAGAAGGTGCCTCAAATAAAGTTACGTGGTGCATGTTAGTGTATTCATCGCTACGTCCCGCATTTGTTCAGTCAAGTGGGCGAGTATGCCCTGAAGCTGTTAATAGAGATGAGAAGATTAAAAATGTCCATTGAGGTAAAGATGTGCGCAGTGTGACGGCGTCATCAGATCAGATGATCGGTTATTTTAGGGGCCAAAAACAAGGTCGCTTTCCAGATTCCCACTCAAAGGGCTTTTTCCATCCGAGTGTAAGAAACCGTAGCAAATCTGAAACACTGCTGCTCAATTGTAACACCTATTATCTATATCAATGTTTTAGAGAATAATAAAAAAAAAAAAAGTACTGTAATACATAATAACATCCAATAATGGTTTATTGCTATTGGTTTATTAATAATATATTAATATAAAATACTATACAAAATACATAACTTATATATACTTATATAGCCTAACTAATATATTATCATTATACTTTCATTAAATATTTTGATTATATTATTATTATTATTATTATTATTATGTAACAATATTAATATTATAAGGACTGGTTTAAGATTTACATGCAGTTATCAGATTGCATATGGGACTTTACTTCCACCTGCAATCCTGTTTCTGTCTTTTACATCTTGTCTCAGTGGCTTTGTTTGACCTTGTTCCTTAACAGTGCTATACAACAAATATTGCTTTGCCTTGCTAACTGCCTTGTTTTCTCTCTCAGGTGAGCAACCATGGCTAACCTGCAGCAGGAATACCCTGGGGTCCTATTGGGGATCCTGGAGGAACTGGCCAATATGCGCCAATTGCTGACCTTCCAGGACCTTTGTCGCATGGTCAGCACCCGCTTTGACCTGGAACACCTTATCGAACTCAGGAGTTTGCTGTTTGCTGCTGCCAGCCGGGACCCCTGTTTCCCAGCTACCCTCTTCAGAGACCGGGTTTCTGCCAGAGGCCAGGGGCTATCTCCCATAGGTGTCGCTGCTGACATTGTAACTATCTTCAACCTTATTCAGATGACGGGTGGAGCCCCTGATGATAGCCAACCAGTGAGAGCCCAGACAGTCCTCCCCGTCGACCAGTCCCCAGGCCCCAGTCTGCCTGGAGTGCACCAGCTGAACATTTATGGTCGAGAAAGAGCACGTGCCCACTCTGACTCCAGTGGCAGGCCTATCGACCAACACTTGCTGTTTCCAAGATCGAATTACTCTGCCCGCAAGCGAGCAAGTCTTCCCCCGGATCCAATCTCACTTGTGTCCTCCCCTCCAATAAGGGCGAGGGCTGTGTCTTTTGACTTGCCTCACACCACACTTATGTACCCTAGTGGTCAAATCCCCAACGAAGTCATGAAGAATATCTACTTGCCTTTGGAGACGGACAGCGAGTCTAGTGGAGATTCTGCAGCCATCGAGGTGTTTGAACCTGAACCGGGAACGTCTGTCGACCAGAAGAGAAACATATTTAAGAAGGACTTCCATAACCAGCCGCCTCTGATACCACAGGTGACCATTAACAGTGAGTCTCCTAGTCCCAGCGAGGCGAAGAAAGGCTTCATCAATCACAGCTTTGACATGATTCCAAATCCTTATCCGTCACCAACAACAGTCCACCAGTTGCCAGAGCAGCGGGCTAAACATGAGAGCCTTGATGACCTACAGGACTCAACTTACTTTGGACCTGGGTCAGTCCCAGACTGGTCCCCCCAGCACCTTCAACCTCCCAGGACACAGCGAGCCATCTGGAGCAACAAGAGTCACAGTTTAGAGGACCGTATAGGCTTGGGCAGCGTTGGAGTGGGGATGGAATCACAAGGAGGGCAACTTCCAAGACGATCAACCCCTGCTATCAGCCATTTGGGGGGGTCCTCAGGAGGTGAGAGTGGGGATAGTGGATTGCCATTTGGAGGTGATGTAGTCAAGGCTCAGGGAACCCAGACAGACCCACCAGACCCCCGGCGCCTCCGTAGCCTGGTCCATGCTGATCGCCTCTCCTTCATGACCTCATTAGATGACCCTGAATTTGGTGAGGATGACATCAGTGCCATCTTTCGTTTCTTAGATGACATAAGCATGTGTGGTTCCACGGGAGTCCTGCACCCCAGTGATGGATCAGCGGCCATTAATCAGGACACCCCGGAGGCCCGACGTGGCCGCCTAGGTCAACTCCAAAGGCTTTTCCACTCCCTTGAAAGCAGCGATGACGGGCTCAAGGCCAGTGTGTGTAAGCTGCTGCTCCGTATGAGCCAGATAGAAAGACAACTGGAGTCACTGAACGATGTAAAGGCTGAGATTTCTCAGGTGCTGTCTGCTCTGCAGCGACTTGATGAAAAGATCCAGCAGCCTATCAGTGGTGGTGGACAAGGCACCAGTGGACGATGGCTAGAACCTCTTAGTGGTGTGTCTTCCTTTATGAGCCACCCTCTAACCCCCTCTGAGTCATCAGAGCCTCAGCCTCTGTCTGCATCTGGTCATATGTTTCCAGGGACCAGCACTAGTAGTCTGGACTGGAGCCATTGGAACACTCCTCGGGAGCAAACAGAGACCAGCAAAGGTCAGGCTGATTCAAAGGGGAGTAAAGAAGGGAAGAAGGATGCTTCATCTCGTCGTGCTTCCAAAACCCAGCCTGAGGAGAAAGGTGTCTCTGATTCCAAACAGCTGAATGTCAACTCTGCACGAGACTGGACAGTGTCCTTCTCAAAAAGTAAAGATGGCAAAGCTTCACATGGGCAGGTAGACTTTGTAAATTTCTATATTTCCCATGATATATGTAACAGCAACCATTAGATGACAGATGGGTTTCTCGGCATATAAGCATCAGCTCTTAAAGAGATTGAACTGTAATCCATTTTGAAGGCAAAAGTATTCACACCATGTGCGTATCCGTGCTGTATGACCACAAAATATGCTTGGCCTGTAGCAAGGCCTGTGGTCTGCTGGGTAGACACACATAATTATGTGGTTGGTTTACAAACTGATCTAGCCACTTTGTGGGTTGTTAATTTAAAACTTAACAGCGATCCCCCTCCGCCCCCCTCCCTCCAGCCTGCGACATGATGTCATAAATATAATCCAGCTCGCAAGATTTTTATTTTTCTCGTTTCATATTAATTTGAACCAACCTTTCATATACAATTAATGTAAAAACACAGTTTTATTTTTAAAAATGTATTTTGTTTGGGACAAAATAATTGAAAGGTTCTTACAAATGCGTGCAAACAGTTGATAAGAAGAGTTAAGTATAATGTATAATGTTAGTAATGCAAATATTGCGCTTTCTTGTGGCCCTCGTATTAGATGACAATACCAGCAATCTGTTCAAATTCATTTCGTTTAGCTGGGGTATTTATTTAAAACTAATATTGTCAACTTTGCCTGTATTTCACATATTTTTAATGTTAAAATATCAGTATACATTAAGTATGTGTTTGGCCCATTTTTCTTCTAGGCGGATCAGTCAGGCAGCACAACTAACCTACTCTCCCAAAAGTCCTCCACCCTGGTGGAACAAGTGTTTAACTCATCCCTGTTCCGCCACAAAGACAGCAGTCTGACAGGTGGACTAACCTCTGGGAAAATCATAGACCCCAGACTGGCTGAGGGGAGGGGAAGGCCCATATGGACTGTCGATGACAGGGAGGCACGAGTCACCCCATTGGATTTACAGGTAAGGTGTTTTTGGGTAGGCTGTGTTTGTTTCCTGTCATGGCTTTTATATACTTATATAAAGTGTTTAATTGTTGTAGTCTGTAGACTAAATGGGATCTGTTTTCTGGTTTATTTTTAGGACAATACATAATGCAGGCTTAAGATAAATACAATAAAATACAATTCTGTGTCATAAATCAACCCTTCAATGGAGCATAGCAGCAAAAAGTATTCAATATTTGAGCTTTCCTACATCTTAAATTAGACTCAGATTTGTATTTAATCTATAAGTTCATATCTGTTCTAAAATATTTGAATGCTGTCATGTTCCTCAGGGCCAGGAGTCTCTGAACCCCAACAACATGGAGTTCTGGATGGACGACATCTACACTCCAGGCTATGATGCTCTACTCAGGCGTAAGGAGGCTAACCTCCGCCGCGTCAAGGTCTGCAAGCTGCTTGCACTCATTGCCACAGCAGTGGCTATAATTCTTATCATCGTCATTCCCATTTGCACCGTTGGGTCATGAAAAGCCTTACAGAGAGCTAACATTGTTGCCTGTCTTTATTTTATTCATTTATTTTCAGCAGCTATGTGCTGTACCCAGGAACTTGCATACCATTCTCGTGGAGATTAGTGGATGAGAGACTGTGACTCTGGAACCCTAAAGCTGTACCTCAGTACATCCTTACATTTCTCTGCATGCAGCACCATTATTTATGACTTCTGAAAAACAGGAGGATTTGAAGTGTAGCTTACTTTGAAATCCATCCCTCATGCAGTTAAAACAAATTGTAAGTAATCTCCAATGCCAAGTCATTTATTTCATGTTTTTTGTTCTTAATAATTTCAGGTGGCGCCAAAAGGAAGTCATTAAAAAGTTTTAAATAATTCTAAAATAACTCTGAGAGGATATGTTGAAACTACTAATACTGAGCCATTGCAAAAGTGTCAATTTCCTTTGATTTTTTCATTTTGTCTGCTCTCTTCTGAGAAACAACACTGTTACAAATGCATTGTGATTCAGCTTCAGCCTTGAGCACTGCCTGACTCTTTCTTGCTGTTCCCTTGAGAACACTACAGGGCTTATTTCACTTCTATGTAAAATAATAGTTTTATCAGTACATAAGAGTTTTCCATCTACAGTTTATAAATGGTAATGGATCCTGTCTACAGGAGTGTTTTTATTTTCTTTTAGTTTTAATGTTCTTTTCCTTTATTTAAGCAACAAGATATACTGCTAAAACAAGCTTAAATCAATAAAAATAATATTTTTATAGAGTCCCTTCCCATTTTTCAAACTGGAAAATATAAGCTGTTTAATCCACTCCTGAATGTGTTTGGGTTGGAGTGTTTACCAAGTGTCAAGTTTCAAAAAATGGAAGATAAAAATCTTGTTGTTGTTGAAGCAGTGAAGGAAAGAGGGAGGCTTTTCCAGTAAACACTCTTTGAAAAGGATATTCCACTTGTAATTCAATTGATGGGATGTTAGAAGTGCACCTATGCACATTAACTTTGCCCTACACTCACTTGGCCAGAGCTTTTCCACATAGCCTACCTGCAGACTCACTTAGCACCAACAGATTCATCTGGCGTCCTTACACGGATGAGGAAAGTAGTTTTGCCAGTGGTGTTACATTCCGTTTTGTAAAAACATCCTGTTAACTCAGGAAGCATTGTATGAAAAGTGACTCTTGGTGCTGGTGGCAGGCTGTTAAAACTATGGGGGGTTGACAAAAAACATGTATACTTTTAGAATATAGTGAAATTCAATATAATATTTCTGCAAGAATACAACCTTCGGGAATCTTGTAGTGTTCACTTTTTGTTGAGACTCTGTCAGAGAAGTGTTGATTAAACTCGAAGGTAAGACTGTAATGCAAATGTACAATGCGTATTACAGTCTGGTCAAAATAGGCACACTTTTCAATCAACCCCGTCAGTAACCACAGCCTCAAAATTACCAAATTGTGAAATTCAACACCTGACACAATCTCATTTCTAGTATTTTTTGGCTAATGTATTGTATTTCATTCATTTGTGTAGGTTTTTTTGTCCACTCCCTCTATCAGTATGGATGATTTTATGTATGGAGTCACCAAAGTGGACAGAAACTACATCAAAATCTTGTTTCCTTTATCTGTAGCCAGACCAATAAACTTCACTTTGCTTTGTGAGCACAAATATGCACAGGATGTATATGGGGTGTGTTCTGCTTCAATGCATCCTCCTAAGTAGATGTATATCTGCCAAGTGTTCCCCATGAGGCTGCTTGTGGATCCATTACCCTTCCAATGGTGCCACTGAGGAGGCCTAACCCTGCAGTCAGCACAGTCTGCATTAGAGCCTCCTGACACTTTGTTCACTCCTAAGATGTACTTATGAAATTTGGATCTTGTTGTTGTCATATCCATGCACCTTTTAGATATCTGTGAACTCATTATTCAGGTAAACACTCTGTCTTAAAAACTGCTTGTAGATGAAAGAGAATTTGTGCAGGTATTACAGTACGAGTTACTGGTGTGCAGTGCTTTGATTGTGAGGGTGTATGTTGAATTTTGCTGCCTCTGAATAAACTCGGCAAAGTGGTGACCTGACTTTTACAATATGTTGTCTGATCCGATAAACAATAAATTAAGAACTAATTGTGTTATAAACACATTTAAAATCACGGTGAAAGAAATAATGTCTCCTGAAAGCAACTGCTCTGTTATGCAAAATTAATGATTTCCCATTTTCTTCCTCAGGGTGATGCACTTAGATGATGCCAGAAAGGGCAGAGAGCAACTGGTGTAAATAGAGAATTCTGGCAGTTAAATGATCTGTGACTGGAGGAAATATACATGAAGATGAATAATTGATAAAGACAGAGAGCACATATTGACTGACAGATCCTATTATGTCCAATCAACTCTAATGGACCTGCAGGACATACACAAGCATACAATGTCCTGGGGACAAGTGCAGTGCTAAATCAGAATTCCAATGCATTATAAAAACACACAAGCACACACAAATAATTTATAGTCTAATGTTGAGTTGTTTAAAAATGCCTAATGTGTTATGGACACATATACATGTAATTGTTTGCAGTTGACACTGTGTGTGTGTGTGTGTGTGTGTGTGTGTGTGTGTGTGTGTGTGTGTGTGTGTGTGTGTGTGTGTGTTACCCTCATTAAATGTTGCACAGTGTGTTGAGCTGCTGCTGCACCCAGATATGCCATCCGTGGCTGATTAATGATGCTGTTGCGTGCATCCCATGTGCCACGACAACAGGACACAGTCGCTGACTGTTTCAAAGGATATTATGATTTCACACATAATTTCACTATTCTGTGTTGCATACTTTGATACATAGTATGGAGAGCAGGAGGTATAGATATCAGACTGACTAACCTCAAGCAAAACTGCCTTTTTTTATTTATTGTGCAAACCTTCTCTAATGCATGGGAGACTTCCTAAGTCTGCTATATAGCAGTTTAATATTTGATAATTAATTAGACAAAAGAAGAGATTCATGAAATAATTTAGAAATTAATATATTACCCAAATCAATGGGTGAAATTAAAAAGAAGCGTATAAATGCATGATGGAAATATATACATTATTTTTTTAAAATAGATTATTAATGGAACCAGCTTCCAGTTGTGGTTCGGGAGGCAGACACCCTCACCACATTCAAGAGTAGGCTTAAGACATTCCTGTTTGATAAAGCTTATAGTTAGGGCTGGATCAGGTGAGTCCTGAACCATCCCTTAGTTATGCTGCTATAGGCCTAGACTATCGGGGGATTTCCCATGGTGCACTGAGCTCCTCCCTTCCTCTCTCTTTCTGCACTCATTCATGTTCCATTAATGCATGTTACTAACTTCACTTCTTCCCTGGAGTTCTTGTGCTTTCTCGTCTTGCAGGTTCTTGTCGATCCTGGTGGAGCCTCCTGCCATGGTCCTGCTAGATTGCCATTGCCAATACTGTTGTTGCTGTGCACCTGTCTGTCTGTCTGTCTGTCTCTCTCTCTCTCTCTCTCTCTCTCTCTCTCTCTCTCTCTCACCCCAACTGGTCGAGACAGACGACCACCCACCTAGAGCCGGAGGATCTGTCCTAGGTTTCTGCCTTTTAACAGGCAGTTTTTCCTTGCCCTTGTCGCCAAGTGCTTGCTCATGGTGGTACTGTTGGGTCTCTGTAATTAATGTTTTAAAGAGTTCGGTCTAGACCTGCTCTATTTGAAAAGTGTCCTGAGATAACTTCTGTTATGAATTGACGCTATACAAATAAAATTGAATTGAATTGAATTGAAAATTGAATGTATACGTGTATATATATAATACAATATATTTTTAATTTCTGTTTGTATGGTACAGAGTAGTTTCAGTTAATGCTGCTTGCTGTAAGTATTTCTAAGACTCCCCCCTCTAAATCCCCCATCCAAGTCCCTGCAGTTACAGCTCTGGGTGAGTGGGGGCGGTAGAGCGCTCCGACCTGCGTCATAGTAACTGACGAGGAAGAAAACCGGCGCTGATTTTGAACTGTGTAGAAGAATGTGCAAACTTTGTAAGACAGGTGTGGCACAGCTGCGGGAATAAACAACCTAACCTCTGCTTTTAACATCGGACGTTGTTACATTACATGTCAACCGCACTATCACATGACAATTATTGCACAGGTACGTGTTTTGTTATTTTTCTTTTGACTAACGTAACGATAGGTAGGAAAGTGTAACACAAGCCTGCTAACGTTAGTGTTAGCATGCCGATAGCTTTCTTAATAGGCGCAGTAACGTTAAACCGGGCGTGACATGAATTTAGCAAATAAGCCTACGAGTTATATTGAGTTTAGCGGAGAAGGAACCTAAAAATAAATTCTATCGTGTTCACTCCGTGCAAGGATGTAACGTTAGTTGTTGGTTTCATTTCAACATGTTCGAAGATGTACTGACATGAAATGCAGGGTCGGTAACGTTACGGTAACAATGTAAAACGTCAACAAAATGAAAGTAACATTAACGGGCTTTATCGCCCAACTCACCCACTTCTCCCTACTAATCTAAGCTGATGTCAACTTAAACTAATCCAGCTGCAGTGAGACACGATGGAGTCGCCCGTGGTGAACCTGTACAACCAGTTTCAGAGTCTGAGAGCCCAGGTGGACGGTCTCAATGAGGGCATTGAACCACGTAAGTTATTTCCACACTTGGTTTTGGTATTTGCCACCTCCTATAGAAACCTGTAAGAGAACCACAATGGACTTTAAGAACCTGTGTTGCGTTACTGTAATTAAGTTGGTCAGTGGTGGCATGGTGCTAACGTTAGTAGCAGTGGTAGTGTCAGTTGTTGCGATCAATTATTAGCCACAGACAATGAATACAGAAGCAGTACTGAGTATAAAGCCTTTGCTTTAGTAAGTAAAGGATGAGGGGACCAGGACTACAGACATGCTGTGGAAACTGATGGTGCAGCGCATGGCACAAATGGGGGATGAAATAGCTATTGGGGTGTAGTAAAAATTTCCATTTCAATAGTCCAAATAAAGCAGTTCATTTCCATTTTAACTAACAGGAAACACTGTCACTCATTTGTTTACTATACAGCAGAGCTCTTTGTATTTTTGCCCTGACTCTAAAGGCAATTTGCATCATTGCCACTAAAACCAATGAATTCTGGAGACCTAATTTACATACCCTACCCACCACAGAGGAAAGTAGTTTATTGTGCGCAGAGGCAATACAACAATCTCCTCCTCCGTTGTCTTATTTAGAGTTCCTCCAGATGGCAGTGAACTTTGAGGAGTGTCGTAAGAAGTGGCTGCAGTCAGATGAGGAGCTGGTTTCCTGTAAAGAGGGTCTGGCTAAAGCAGAGACTGAGAGGGGAGCCCTGGAGGTCAAACTAAAGCATGCTCGCAACCAGGTGGATGTGGAGATCCGCCGGCGGCAGAAGGCGGAGGCAGTCTACGAGAAGCTGGTTGGTGCAACACTACTTATAAGTCTTATAAATCTGCATATTTGTTCATGGGATACATTTGCAGTTGCCTGTTTTTTCATGTATGGACCTTTCTCTGTCAACCTGCTGCTTCATGGGTATAACAGGAACGTCAGCTACAGCTGATCCGGGAGCTGTTGGTAACAGAGAACAACGGCAACAGTGTCCACCTAAGTGAGGAGCAGCGCTCCGCCCTGGCCTTCCTCAGTGCTCACTCCCAGGCAGCACAGACTGCTAAAGGCAACCTCAACTCCAGTCGAAGGTCAGATCCTCCATGGCTCTGAAATAACCATTATCAAGGTTTTTTATCGATTTTGAAATGCATCTTCCTGTATTAAAGCTTATATAATTCACGGGAACATTGTGTAATTCTCAAACTCACCATGGACACAGGAACAACACCAGACAGGAAGATTAAATTCACTTTAATTTATCTTACAGGTTAACTACCATCGATGAATCAGCTTCTTTGTTGTCAGACATCAGCTATGACCAAACAGACGACTCTCTGGTATAATGACCCATTTCCATAAAGGTTCACTTTATATTTTAAGAGAACTGATGATTTGAGGTTCAGATAGTGAGACTGTGTTCATTAAGGGACATGTGTAATGAATTGGCATTTTAAGTTATATATCTCCACTTTTCTTGCAGGACTGGGATTCATCTGCGATGAGGACCGTAAGACTGAGAAAACGTCAGAAACGAGTGAGTCATGTCTTCACCCACATTTTGAATAGATGCCTTTTAATATTTTCTTTCAGTTTAGGTAGTTTAAAGCTAGGTGTAAAGGCAGTCAGTGATTTGACTCATGTGTTTCTATACATTAGTAAAACTCTGTCTAACTATTTGTTTTCAGCAGTCAATCCATGACAAAAGGTTTTTGTAAATTACGCTACATTTTATTCCACAGCGTTCCTCCAGAAAACTCTCTGAGATTCCTCCACAGACTGTGAAGAAACCTCGCTCTACTGGACGCACATCAGATAGGGTAATGCTGACCTCTGCAGCCGAATGACAATGCAACACTAATGTTTGAAAAATGGTCTGCTCTAGTAAAACAGCTGTGGGTGATTGGGTCTCTTTATTAGAATAACTATTAAAATGGCTATTGACAGAAAATTAACCTCAATGACTTTCTGTCTAAACCAACTCAAATGTCCATCAGTTTACTCTAAAAGAAAATTAAAATATCTTTTTAATATGATTCAGCTGAATGAGTCTATAGTGACCAAAACCACCATCACTGTGCCTGTAAATGGTGGTGCTGTCGAGGCCGTCTCCACCATTGAAACTGTGCCTTACTGGACACGCAGCAGAAAGAGTGGTGAGAACTTTGTAGATCTTCTTTTTTATTATTATTATTATTATTCTCATTATGGGACCTTACAACAAAATTAATTAGACTGATTTTGGCATTTTACCAACATGTGATTGTGTCCACAGTTGCTCCAGCATGGGCTGACACAACCACTACTGACCAATCTGAGACTGCCAGTGAGGCTCCCAGCACACCAGTCTCAGATTTCCCAGCCCAACTTCGAACCCCCAGAACTAACGGAGGAGGAAAGAAGCACCACTTCATCGCCAAAACAGTAAGACTGTAGCCTTATTG